TGTTAACTTTTAATTTTTTTTATTTAAGGATATCAACTTTCAATATTTCAATTAAGAAATCCGTTTGTCATGGTAATATTATCATCTAATTAATCTTTAAATAAAAAAAATTAAAAGTTGATATCTTTAAATAGAAAAAAGTTAAAAATTGACATCTTTAAATAGAAAAAAATTTAAAGTTGACATCTTTATTTATTCATTTTCTCATATATCATGTCATGAAATTAGTTGATGGATACAATATTATGAGTCTTAAAAAACCAAAAAAAAAAAAAAAAGAGTCAGTCATTAAATAATATAAGGTTTATTTTTTAGTATTTTAAATTACATAACTTGTACCAAGTTATCGTCTCAAATTTTCATCTCATTTATCATTATACTTTACACAATCGCCATCAGCTTTCATTATTTGGAAAATAATTAAATTTCAATTAGGTGCATTTTGATTAGGAAAATAATTTAAAAATAACTTTTTTGTACAACTCTACGTGTTATTTAAATTATTAGTTCCTTTTATTCATTTGATATCCATGATTTAAGTAAATTTACTTATTTAATAACACGTAAAAATTATATAAAAATATTGTTTAAGAAAAATTGCCCCATGTTATTGCCTTTTTGATTCGGTTATTTCCATCGCCTTTTTAATTCGGTTATTTCTTTTTTGTCTTGCTTTCATTCCTAAACATTTGGAAGTATATTGAAAAAAGAAATAAAAAATCAATTATACATAAATTTTATATATTAATACAACATTTTAATTATTCATTTTATTACTTTCAAGAATTAAATTTTATTCATTTTTTATTATATTTATTAAAATTAATTATCTTTATTATTTAAAAAATTATGATAAACCATATTAATTAAAAATAAAAAAAATAATTAATTAAAATTTTATTTAAATATAACGTGTAAATAAATCCAAACTCTTATAAAATGTTCCCAATTTTGAAGAATTACCCATGATCCTTTTACTTTGTTTCGTTGTAGACAAACATTTATCCACGATCGAAATTGGTACTGCTCAGTGCTAATGCTATATTTTATTATTCAATAGAGCAATCAAGCCACCAGCAACCTTCTATCGATGCATAGTAATACAAAAATAGAATAATCACAATACCACGTGATATTATGAGCATTTAAGCATGTAATATGATATGTTATTATATAGCATAATAATGTTGGAAATTAGGATTGAGATATCAATCAATGGAGAAAGGAAACCCTGAAAGAAGTAAACGTACAGAACTTACTTTGAAAATACAACAAAAGTTATGCGTACAACTAAAAATAATAAGTTCAAAAATTTACACCCAAGTCCAGAAAAAGAGAACTGCAACACTAGTCCAAATCAATGAAACATGAATTATGAGGTGTACTCAAATGGCTGGGGTGGCTGAGGTTCCTCATCGACAGCCATGGCAGATGCAGAACCCTGCTGCCCTGCACCTGATCCAGCGGCAGTTGATGCCGTGGGTGCAAGTGTGTCTGTTAGAGAAAGTACCTCGGGTTCATTTGGACGCAAGTCTCTCAGGAGAACAAACCCAGATGGGGCTAACTTTACTGGCACATATCTGCTATCTTCCAAGAACTTGATGAATTTTTCCTGAGCTGGAACAACTCTTGCTGGGTTTGTCAAAATTTCAAAGGCTGGCTCAGGTTCTGTTTTCTTCTCTGCAGGGGTATCAACCTGCCAGATATGTGAAGTGGATTGTCATCTATCCTTTTAAATTTGTTGTAGAATGCAAGAAAACCAAATAGCCTATGCAACTTACCTGCATCGACTCCCCATCTTTCTCACTTGATTTTCCTTTGGACTCAGAACCAGGTAACTTCTCAGCATTAGCCTTTTGCTCTGCCTCTTTCTTATTAGCCCTAGCTTTTGCCTTTGCTGATGTTGACAGAACAGCTGTTGGAAGTTTCACAGCAGATGTGGTGGTGGGTACTGTAGTTGGTTTTGGATACTCAAAGAGTGAAGGTTTTGCATGTGATAAGAATTCAAAACTTGGAACTTTCAAGCCATAGTTCAGGCCAATAAAAGCTGTGGGAGAGAATGACAAGCTTATGAAATAGATGAGGGGGTACCAATACCAAAACTGGCTGAACACTGCAAGACCAACAACTGCAGTGACCTTATCATGTCTTGTCTTAGAAAGTAATCTTATGGTCACATTCCTCCCACCAGCATCTAGGATCCCAGAGGCCAAGATAGCTCCCATCTTGCTCATTGTATCTTCATGCTTATCAAGTATTATTTTCTCCAATTGCCGTCTACAAAAAATGGGGAACAAAATCAAATTAGACCGAAAAGCATAGAAAGTGTAAAGCATAACATATTAAACATATTATGCCCTCAGAAAAAGGTATATATTTGACCAATAAGAGACTGAAAAAGACAAATGCACTTTAGTATGATACCTGAATGCTCCGACACGAGTATCACTGGCTTCGTTAATTTGGACCATAACCATAGCCATTGCTATAAGGGCACCTTGACGAACAAAATCAACAACATCTGATGTCAAAGGCTCAAGCAATGATATGGCCTCACTCAGGCCAGTGCCAGCACAAGAAATGCCAACTGCAAGAGCCGCACCATAGCGAACGTGTGGGTTATAAGACTCAGAGAGCAACGAGACAATTCGAGGCATCTGCAATCGCGTATAATGCAGTGAGACAAGCATCAGAAGGTAGAAATTGGAGGAAGAGAAGGTTGAAAATGAAGGATGTTGCAAATATAAAATAAGATCAAAGTCAGTCAAATTTGCACAAACCTGCTCTGGTTCTGAGTAAAGCACAAACCCAAGAGCTAGAACAGCAGTTCTCCTAACATCATCACTGACATCTGATACAGCAAAATGCAGCAGCTGACGAATAGCCTTGTTATTTGCGGTTCCACTGTATGCCAATGCCAAGGCATACATACCGCCGTAACGTAGTATGGGATCTTGATCCCGTGTCATCTGCTCAATTAATGTATCTGCCTCTTCTTCTCTTCCATAAACAGTAAGAGCTATCCCCAGTGCCAAACCCCTGCAGCATACAAGAACCTATGAATAAAGGAGGAAGACCATGATTTTACCAAAGCTCAATCAGACACCAAGATTGCTGACCCAACTTTTACCTTATGATTTTTTCATGTTGTGTCTCATGTGCATAAGCAAGCATCTCACTAGCCCTCTCACTTGCAGTTCCAACCATGAGTAAACCCATACTGATACCAGCAGCTTCACCAGCAACGGCACTGTCAGTATAAAGCACACTTTTGATGTCATCATATATATCCTCGTCAGCAGTTCCTAGAGCTGCCAAACCAAGACCTAAGCATGCACCATGCTGGATAACCTGCACAATAGTTTCCAACATGGTTTTCAGAATTAAGCAAAAAGCTCCCTAGTCAGAAAAGATGTCATCATGGTCCAGAAAAACATTTACTTACCTCTACATTCGTACTGCGTAAGCTATCACGAAGAAATTGCTTTATGCCCTCCCCATGGTTGGCATGAATAAGACCCAGAGCATAAAGTGCACCACCTTCAGAATATGGACTACCACCACCACCTGTCGCACCCTGAGGCAGGTAAGGTGCCATTAGAGACCTACCCTGCTGCAGATGACCTCTATGAATAACACCAAGCCCTGCTGTTGCACTGAACTTGGCCCAATTGGTAGCTCTGCTCAGCCAGTCCTGATAATAAAAAATAGAACCTTAAGTATAAACTCTTTTTAACATTTGTATAAAAATGTATATCAATAAAATAGGAGTCAAGTAAAAATAAGCCAAGATAATTGTTTTACCAGGTTATCCCGAAGGAATGTATCTACCGTTGTTCCAGCATGCATAATTGCATTTGCATATATTGTTGCGCTATGACAGACACTGTTCCTCATTTCAACAGACTGCTTTATTGTCTTTAATATTAGAAGATCTGATCTGTGACAAATGACAATGATCTTATTGTCAACATCTTAAGAAAAATTATGCTGAAGAGAACACAAGAATAGGCCTTGATTAAAGACAACTTCAAGACATTAATCATCTCACTTATTATGACTGTATAAGAATTGTAGAGTCAACTGAATTGATGTCTCTCCAGACAAGATTCCTCTGATTTTTTTCAGCCTCTCTGAATACATCACATCATTTGGATCAACCTCACGTGCCTGTGTAGTACCAGTAGGTCTATCTGTCATCTGAACATCCTCTTGGCTAGCAGAGTTTTCACTTTGAGCAATTGCTGAATCACTGGATCCTGGCTGTGAAGTTTCCAAGGGTTGAGACTTGGGAGCCGAAAGGCGATCTCTGACATTTAGGAGAAAAGCCTGGTGCTCATTCTCTACTAGATCAAAGGCAATTTGAAATGCCAATAGAGCATCATCCTTATTCTCAGATTGAAGAAGCTTTTCCAAGATACTAGCAACACCTTCAGGTGCATCCAAGAACATTTGACCCTGACAAATGCTCAAATAGTCTGGCGAAGGCAACTTTTGGAATACATTAACAAGAAGATGAAGAACCTATATTAAGAACAAACAAAGAGTTAGGAACCTTGCAAAGCCCCAATAATGGACCACTAAAAGAATGAAGAACTGGAGGAAAGCAACACTGCAGCATAAATATTAAGAGTGTATGCCATAATAAGCTCCAATTAGATTTGAGTGTTAAACCAAATATCTTTTAACAAAAAGAATAAACTGGACAGAGAGATTACTTCTTACAATAATTAACATAACGATATAAATGATAGTAACTAACTAGGATTTTGATACAAAAATAAAATAAAATAAAATAAAATAAAGAAAAAGAATATTATATCAAACCAGTGGCCCAGTGCAGATAGGCAAACTAAATATGTCTGTGAACAACTAAGGAACCTCTTACCTCACGCCGATACTCTCGACGATTCACAAATGAATGGGAGACATTCATGCAGTATGATAAAGATCCAGGAACATTATCACTCCTAGTAATTGCTTCTTCAAGCTTATCTAGTCTCCGACACTCTATTGCAACTCCCATAGCCTGTTGGTATTTTCCATCTGCAATACACCTAAATCACAAAAAAAAAAAGGGGGTAAGATAGCTAGATCGACTTAAAAAAAGTTAGATTAGAAGCTAGAATAAAGCTCCACATACTTATCCAACATTCTCTCCACAATTGCCTCCAACCTAGGATCCACATTTGCTGCTTCATCATTTGATTCTGCTGCTTTTGACCTAAGGCTGGCATACTCATCTATTGCCTTGGCTGCAAATAAGAGCAAAAGCAAAAATGTCAAGCTAATACAGCATACATGCAGACAACTCAAGCTTAAATAATAAATATCCACTACTAAGGCATTCAAAATGAAAAACAGTTTGCAATCTATAATAAGCAATAAAAATGAAGTCACTAATTTCTTTTGGGCTTCCCTAATCTCCCATGTCCCATGAAATCCTAATGTCACGGGGAAGAAAATACAAATTCAACCTTTGTCCCTCTTCATTGTTTCACTGGCACAACTATGAAATATACTTCTTTTGAGTATTTATAAACATAAACTTCGAAATAATTCTTGTTTCTAATAATTGGGCAATGCAGGCAATGAATAAAACATAATGCAGTAGATAATCATTCTTAATTTCTTACCAAGAAGAGTATGAACGTAATCAGAATCCTCTGAAACATCAAAAAGGGAACCAGCTCCAAGGGCATAAGACAAGGAATCATTCAGTTCTCCCAAATAATAGAAGACCTAAAAAGGAATGGTTGAGAAGAAACAACCAAGGTTAAAAGATTAAAGTCATTACATGTCTAATTAACACCACTTTTCTTCCTAAATTCTAAATTCAATTAAAAGAATATTAAACAAAATAGAATAAGAGTTCCTATTCACTTCTCTAATCTAATGAAAATTGAAAAATAAAATGTCTTTTCTAATCCACAATATTCTCAGCAACCAACATAATATGCCCCTTTTTCTTAAAGATTTCAGTCGCTGATCATTCTCTTAGGTTCTCTTAGGTACTCTTCATTTAAAGGGAAAAAAAAAAAAAGAAACAAACTTGAGAAGATACACATACTTAGACCTTACTAGAAATTCAGATTATGGGGATAAAACACTTTACATATTACTACAAATTTTAGAAAAATTAGATTAAGAGGGAACCTTAGAGACAAGCAATGCAGCAAGTTGTCTCTGGTGCGGGTCAAATTCCTCATCCTCATATATACTCTCTCTGAATAAAAAAAATAAAATAGAAAAAAAAAAAAAAGAGAGTCAGAAAGCAGTTATCAGAAACTCAAGCTCCAATCTTTTTGGCAATTCTAAACAAAGCCATAACAAAAAAACTGGGAAAAAGGAAGTTGCACATTGAATTGGAGGAATCCAATTGAAGCATAACCTATAACCAATTAAACTAAGCCAGACACAAATTTAAAAAGCAAAAAAAAAAAAAAAAAAAGCTTAAACCTTTTCGCAATTTCTCAAGCAAACCAAATAGAACAAAACATCCAAATCTGGAAACCTAACAGTCCAAAATTCCAACACAGAGAGGAAGAAAGTACATTATAGGAACACTGGTGGAGATCTCCGGCCAAAACTGGTCAACAAATCTGTTGAGATTGGAGAGCGCATGCAGCTTCAACTCTGGATGACTCTCGTTAAGCATTGCCAGCAACCCGCCGGCCGAGCTCACCATGGTAGCCTTCGTCGCCATTGATTTTTCAACTCGGAACTGTACTTGAAACCCTAGCCGAGACGAGAGAATGCAGATCGGTCGCTTTGCCTACGGGTCAGTCTTCTTTGCTTTCTCCCAAAGTCACTTACGATGGAATGAAGGGTGGTAGTATTGTAATTTCAGTGTTTCAGTGTGCCTTTTCGCAAAAATGAAAATGCGTAAAGTAGGTCCTGAACTTATAAAATTTTTGTAATTAAGACCCTAAAGTTTATTGGTTATTGTTGACAATTTTTTTTTTTTGAACATTTTAAAATAGGATGCCATGGATTTTTTTGTTATTGTTTAGTTCTCGTAATATAAATATCTACTTGCATTATAATTTCTAATAAAAAGAATATGAATTTCATTCAGTTTAAATTATATGTTAAAAGTGCAATCTTGATTTGAAATTACTTAAAAATAATCAATAAATAAACATAATGAAAAATTTTAGTAAAGATATTTTAATAATTTCAATGTTAGGATTACACATCTAATGTGTAATTTGAATTGAAAAACACTTTTTGACAAAAAGAAACATAATATATAGTACTTATTTATAGTTGTGTTTGGGGTTGTTTTTTCTTAATATTTTTTTCACATAATACCTTATTACAAGTGCTAATTTGTTATAATTAAATTAATTTTAATTGATGTTTAGTACAATTTAGTGGTCATATTAATGTATAAAACTCTTGTCAAAATAATATTCAAATAATAATACAATTTTTTTCATAATAAAATACTAAAACAATTACAACTATAATATTTTATAACAATCATAAACACAAGTTATATCTACTATAACAATTCCAAGGTACCAACATTCATTCATAGCAATTTCCCTTGTTAATTTTTTTTTTCTTTGTTCAGTGTTCGAACTCGGCCTCAACCATCGCCTCTTTTGCTTCCAAAATTTATAAAATTAAAAAAAATAAATTGCATACAACAAGTCTTAAATTTAAAACCGAAAAATATAAAGAGATAAGTTTGGAACGCTTTAAAACTTAAACTTTGATATTGATTTACATTATGTTTTGCTATTTTGCTTCTTTTTTTTTTTTTATGACTTTAAACATTTTAAGGAGTGATATATAATTAAGATTTCATTTGAGAGTGCTATGTTGTCATTTGTTATTATTTTTTTTATGATAAAAATAATAAAAATATAAGATATTAATCTCAATTTAAAAAAATTAAAGTCTTGATATTAAACAATGTCATTTTATATAATTAAAAATTAATTCAAAATTTAAAAATTCATCTTATTAAATATTAATATATAAATTTAAGACAATGATAAGCTTACCCTCTCGTTACACATCTATCCACACATTAACGGAATCCGTTAAGTA